CTTTTGTCTACCTATGAACATATTGAGCCAATCTTGATGCATGGGAAGGAAACAGTGAGTTTCAAAGAAGTGACTAGCAACTTGATCTCAGAAGAAAGAAGATTAGAAAGGACAAAATACTCCATCTGACAATGTAGTGCTTGTGATTGAAAAAGGGAAGAACGACAACTCCATGAGAAAGAAAGTGACTTGTTATAACTGCGGTCAGATTGATCGCGTGAAGAGAAATTGTCCAAAAGGTGTAGCAGGATCGACTAACTGCTTGGGTCGGACAATGCGTCTCTCCTGGCGGAGGATGACGTGTATGTAGTGCTGTAAAGTAAGATGGGAACATTCTCATGGCATGTTGCCAATTGCCATGATAGAGGATGTGTTCTTACCGGCGCAAGTCAACATATCTGCACATAGCATTGATTGACATTTGATGCAAGGAGTGTAGATATGTGGTGGTATTGTGATGTCGATAGTTGATGAACTCTCTGGAAAAGTCAGCGGGAGAGTTGCACCATAACTATTAGTCGGGTTGTTTCGACATGTAGCCATTGAAATGCTCGGAGTTCACAGATAATTCTGAGTGGTTATACTCATATGGTGGAGTATGAGACCGTTAAAGAGTGTCAAAGGCTTACATGTTTTTTCCAAGTATTGTAATTAAAAGTTGTAGAAGAGATGACAAGATTTTGACCCATTTTCGACAAGGTGAAGATTGTTGGGTAATTGCCTTTAAAAGTCAAAAGTTGGAAGACTTCTATTGCAAATAATAAAATGTAGTTATTGTATAGAAAACTTCTAATTAAAATTGAGAGTAGAATCCTTACAGAATTTGGTCTCCAATTTACAGTCGATTTTGGAGTTTTGCATATGAAGGAATCTTTTTACTGGAATCTTTGTTGAGTAAAAAGATTCTTGTTTGAGTTTAAATTAAACTCTACTACTTGATTATTGATTCTATAAATAGTGGATGTATTTTATTGTTTTAGGGGTGGCCAAAAAGTTGATTTGAGAGAAAAATATTGTGAACCTAGCATTTTAAGACTTTTTGTACATTGAGTAGAAAAGTAGGTGTGGTAAAACTCAGATTTATTTTTTCTTTGTAAAACTTGGGGATTGAGTTGGTGAGTGAAATTCTATATGATTGTAACAATTTTTCATATAATGAAAAGTTTTGACGGTCCGTTTAATTTGTGTGTTATATTTTTTATTTTTCTTATTTACTAATATTCTCTTAAACAACAAAAAGATCATGTGAGTAAATAAAAATAAGGGAAAGTGGCATAAAATTTTCCAGCAGGGCAAACATTGAAATGCTTGATGACACCAAGGCTATGTTTCACCAAAAAATAAAAAGATCATTCAGGACCTGGCAAGTGTTGATATATGCTTTCAACAATTTCGCAGGGCAACAAAGCTAAATAGCTGACAGAGCACATCTTTTGTTGTGTATGGTTAAATGAAATTGAATTATGTAATTTATCAGCAACTTGGGTTTTCCTGAGAACCCGTGAATAGATTTGGATAACAATAAAGAGTACTAAAGTAGATTTAGAAGTTAAGGTATTTTTCATTACTTTGTCTAGTTTAGTGCGGATAGTACATATCAAACATGTACTAAATTGTAAATATAATGACAAATTCAAGAAATTTTTTCGATGCACAGTAAAAATTATTAATCTCGAATTACAACGTTAGAAGTGATGAGTGGTGTTAATGAAACAAAGTTCTTGATTATGCCTTTTTTGTCATTTAAACTGATGTTGACTAAATTTTCTTCAGATATATTTTGTCATTTAGGGCCTTCCCGAGGGCTTTGGAGTCCAGTTATTAGCGTTTTTTAAAGCATCAATTTTGAACGTTTATGAGAAAACCAATCTTGATTGATTTTAGTAGCGATTTTTTAAAATAGTCCAATCCGTGCTTGAGGTTTATTATTCATCGATTCTGAAAGTACAAAATAGTTATGTGTAAAAAAAAAAAAATGATTAACTTATGTGCTCCGGAGTTTTGGATCTACTCAAGGTGTGTTTGTCATCCATTATTTGGAAAGAATGTATTATGGAATAGTGATTGATGTTAAAATATGTGGATAAAAAAGAAGGAAAAGTTTTTTATTTATGTGTAATATTATTTTAATAAAGAATATGTGGTTGAAAATGAGTACTATAGAAAAAATAATGAGAGAAAATTGATGACAAACAAGGGCTCAATCTTTCCTCGTTGTAGCAACTATTTTCTTAATTTTCTTTTATTTAATTCTTATATTTAACCTTCCATTAAATAGTACATATCGTCATTAATGATGATTTATTAGTAGCATTCTTACTTTATAAACAATTTTTTACAAAAAAAAAAAAAAAAAAAAAAAAATAGAAGTTATAAAAAAAAAAAAAAAAAAGAAGAAGTAGAAGTGATTTTTCATTTTATCAGTAATATTTTACTTTATAAGTAATTTTTCTAATTATACTATAATTTTCTGGCTTATAAATTTTTTTTAGTTAAATATATTTTTATTTACAATTTAATTTTGAACAAAATATGTTGATAAAAAATAATTATTAATAAATAGTAAAATTAGAAAAGAATATGAGAAATGACCAAATCCCATCAATTGGTGGGTTGATAGAACTGAAGAAAATTACACCATATTGATTTTAGGTGGAAGTTAGGTCATCTCCAGCGCTGCATCAAAATTTGTACCATTTTGCACTAAATCAAAGTTTTTCTCCAACCATTATACCAAATGAACAGTGCTTTATTATTTTATTCATTATTTCGATTTTTATGAATGTATTTATTTTATAACTATATAAATTACTAAATCATAACTTCGTTAAATTAACAAACATATTGATTACTAAATTATTCACGTGTTTTATATATTATGTTAATTTGACAAAAATAATTTATTATATTATTAATTTATGATAAACAATTACATTAAATTTACAAAAATAATAAACTTTAATAATATAAACTTTACGTTAAATTAAACTTTAAACGTAAACTTTACGAATTAAACTTTACGTTAAATTAACAACTACTTAATTATCATTGAATATATTATAAAAAATAATAAACTTTAATAATATAATTAATAGTGTAATTAATTATTATTATCATCATCATCATTATAGAATGAAAATGACACAATTATTCTTAACCATTGTCTTTGAAAAATGATAAACAAGGACAAAACGGACATTGCATCATTTGGTGTAAAAAATAGTGTAATGAATAGTGTTGCACCAAATATAGTGCAACACAATTCACTTTGCATCATTTTGATGCAAAATAGTGCAATGGTGTTAGTATTGAAGTTGACCTTAGGCCATCCAAAGTTGGTGTCCCAAAACATTAGCAAGCATATCATTAATGAAGAAAAAACTCCCAAACAGGCCCTCTGGTGCTGGCGCCACGTTGCCCTAATTTTGTCTTTTACGGGCCGACATCTACGTAGGAGATCTCAATTATTGTTCAGTTTTTTATGCTTCATTTGCAGCAGAAATGACAAACCTTGACATTTTTTTATACTGACAAAAAAGCCTCAATTTTGAATTTGACATATGCATTTGCCATCTCTTCAATAAATACCAAGAGTAGTGGCTTTCCTGAACATAAAATCTGTTTTTAGTTTCCTAGAATTGACCATGGCTAGTTGTGTGAAGCTTTTAGGCGTATCACCGAGCCCATATGTGAACAGGGTTCAAATGGCACTTAACTTAAAGTCCATTGAGTACGATTTCATTCAAGAGAATCCCCATGACAAAACCGAGCGCCTTCTTAAAGCCAATCCCGTTCTAAAGAAAATCCCAGTTCTTATCCATGATGGCCAATCTATTTGCGAATCCCTTATCATTGTGATGCTTGGAATAATGGTCCCTCCTTACTCCCTTCCGACCCCCATGACCGTGCCTTAGCCCGGTTCTGGGCTGCTTATATTGATGATAAGGTACAGTTTAGCTCCCCTTTCATCGTTTAATTTCACTTGTCTTCATTTTTTGAGGGACTTAGCTTTCAGTTCATTACCATTTCTTTTATTGCTCTTGTAAATGGGATTAGGACTTCATCCTAAACACAAAGTTAAAAAGAGAAACTGTTATATCGGCTTATTAATTACAAAATGAATTCTATTTAACACACTTGAACTATTGATTCCAGTGGATTCCACTATACAAGGAGCTTAAAGAAGCATCAACAGAGGAAGCAAGAAAGGAAATCATCGAGAGAATATGTGAAGGTTTGATCTTGTTCGATGAGGCTTTTGTCAGGTGTAGCAAAGGGAAACCCTTTTTCGGTGGAGATAATATCGGTTACCTTGATATTGCACTAGGTTCCTATATGGGATGGCTTAAAGCGACGGAGGAAATAAATGGCAGGAAATTTCTTGATCAACACGCGACCCCAAGCTCGGCACAATGGGCGGAGAAATTTTGCTCACATGATGCTTTTAAAGAAGTCGTGCCAAAGACTCAGAAGCTAGTGGAAATTGATAAAATGGTCCAAGGCAGTGGAAAACCAGCTTCTAGTTGTTAATGCATGAGATGATTGTTGCTGTTTCTCGGAAGGATTGCTTTGAGGAGTTTTCTTTGTGAAAGATAATCTCTATCTTTCTTTAGTTAGCTACTGTTGTGTGTTAACTGAAAATTGAATAAAGTGAAGCAGTTTCATTCTAATAAATTAAGGAACAAATTGTGTGGAAGGGCTTCTATTTGTAAAGAATATGGATAAAGGATTGCATTGACTGAATGTGATTCACTTACAAGTTGTGTAGTCTCTTAAAATTTGATTTTAGTATGCACCAAATGAGGTGATTTTATTCAATATTTTATCGATGTTTATTGATGTACGTAAATTGGGGATTTCATTTCTTTATTGCCCATGACAGAAATGAAAGGCTTTCTTTTCTCTTGATTGTAATAGGCTTAGTCGGACCACTTGTATTCCTTGTTTCCTTTCGCCAATAATTTGTGGTAACCTGAATTAATTGGAGTTTACTGAAGGAAAAAAAAAAAAAAAAAAAAACTATACTCTCTGTACTTGGAGATTTGTTGTAGGATATAGACCCAAGCTGGTCAAACCATTTCTTTGATCAAGCCGGCAGTACTAGGTAGTCGGCTTCTGCTCCTGTACCTATACATAATATAGTGATGTTAAATGGGTCGAGTCTTGACAAATAAGATCGTTGCTCTCTGGGTTTCTTCTGCCTTCAGAACTAGACTGCAAGCAACAATGTTACATAGGAATGAGGGAGGCCTCAATGATTGTGGAGACAAGACGACGGATGTCTCAATGATTGTGCAGTTTTTTATCTTCAATTTGCAGCAGAAAAACCAAATCTTGCTGTATTTTATATTCACAAGAAAGCCTCAATCTCGAGTCATCTATTTAACTTGTACCATTGGCCTCTTGTTACATTGTACTAAATAAATACCAAGGAAACTAGCTTTCCTGTGCATTACATCTGGTTCTAGTTTCTTAGAATTGACCATGGCAAGTTGTGTGCAGCTTTTAGGAGCATCACCAAGTCCATACGTGAACAGGGTTCAAATGGCTCTTAAACTGAAGTCTATCGAATATGAGCTCATTGAGGAGAATCCCCATATCAAAAGTGAACGCCTTCTTAAAGCCAATCCTGTTCTAAAGAAAATTCCAGTTCTCATTCATGATGGCGAACCTATTTGTGAATCCCTTCTCATCGTTCAATACATTGATGATGCTTGGAATAATGGTCCCTCCTTACTCCCTTCCGACGCCCAGGACGCCTACTTAGCCCGGTTCTGGGCTTTGTACATCGATGACAAGGTATGATACATTTTCACTTTATTCTGTAATATAAAATCAGAAAAGATGTTGAACTGTGTAGAGCCCTATGGTCCTAATTATATTGTACACTTATTACTTCTACGATATAATAAGGATTTTCTAGGTGAAAGAGAATTATTGCAGTCTTTTCTTCGTCATAGTGAAAATAGTAGCGATAACTGGAAGTAACACTCTAGTTGAAGGCAAGCCACTGTAAATATGTGTGTTTTCTTTCTTTCTTTATTTTTTTTATTGTTCTTCCAAATTGGGCTTAGGACATTAATTCCATAACTATTAAGAGAAATAGTTGTAGTTACAGGTGTCAAAATGTGTGGGTTGAAAATACTTCGTAAGTTCAACTTACTAGTCATAGCACATTTATTTTAATAAATCGAGCTCATCAGGTCGGTCATCATTAGTGGTTTGAAAAATCCAACAATTGTTGGACCAACTTATGAATCGGGCCGAAGAGGGGTGGAGTCATTTCGATCGGATTTTGATATGGTCTGAGTTTGACTGGACATACCGATGTTGACACCACTAGTTGTATTCAAGCATACAAGAAAAAAATTGGCTCATTTGTTACACAATGAATTCTATTTTGACAAACAAACTTGAAATGTTGATTTCCAGTGGTATCCACTATACAAGGAGCTTCGTGAGGCACCAACAGAGGAGGCAAGAAAGGAAGTTCTAGACAAAATATTTGAAGGTTTGGTCTTGTTGGAGAAGGCTTTTCTCAAGTGCAGCAAAGGGAAACAGTTTTTTGGTGGAGATAATATTGGTTACCTTGATATTGCACTAGGTTGCTACATGGGATGGCTTAAAGTGATAGAGGAAATGACCTCCATTAAATTTCTTGATCGAAGCAAGACCCCGGGCTTGGCAGAATGGGCGGAGAAGTTTTGTTCACATGACACTTTCAAAGAAGTCGTGCCCGAGACTCAGAAGCTAGTGGAAATTTTTAAAATGGTCCAAGGCAGGGGGAAACCAGCTTCTGGTTGATAATGCATAAGATGATTATTGCTGTTTCTTGGAATGTTTGTCTTAATTAGTTTTCATTGGGAAAGATAATCTCTATCTTTCTTTAGTTGGCTTCGGTTGTGTGCTAACTGAAAATTGAATAAAGTGAAGCAGTTTCATTCTAATAAATTAAGGAACAAACTGTTGGATGGGCTTCCATTTGTAAAAGAATATGGGCATGGACTGAATTTGATTCACTTTAAAGAGTCCTTCGCGTAAGTTGCTTTGAATGGGTAGATCAATTATTTGTCCTTGAGGGTCCAACGTTAAGCCTCTCATACCTAATAATTGATGTACCTGAGATACATTTCCTCTAGGTCCCGAAAAAGACATTAGATGAACTGGTGGTGTAGAGTCTTAAAATTAGATTTCAGTGTTGTCCAAACACTCTTATTTTTTTTCGATATTATATCAACACTTGGTGATGAAAATTGTGGATTTTGTTGCTTTATTGTGAAGCCCACAATGCAGCGGCTTTCTTTTCACTTGATTGGAATAGGATTCGTATGGCCACTTATATTCCTCGTTTCCTTTCGCCAATGATTTGGGATGACATGAATTAATTAGAGTTTTTTTTTTTGAAAAAAGAAAAAGAAAAGTTTAAGGAACAAATTATTGCTTGGATGGGCACTACACTACACAAATGCTGAATAGTGTGGAGCTTAATCACACTCCCGGAATTATATAGTTGCTTTAGTTCACTATAATACTCCTACTGTAACTAAAGGTTTTCATGGGGGAGACTAAGGGATGAAATCACAGTTGTGATCTCCTTCTTCATGATAAAATCTGTGCCGCGTAAAATGATTGCGATGAGATTGAGGGAAATAGAGACAGTAGCAAATATCAAAATTAATATGAAGATCTTAAAGAAAACTTGTGATTACCATATGGAGCTTTAAATTAAGCAAATTACTTTAGTGGTCGGATTGGCTCTATTTCGATTTACAAAAATGTGGTGTGAAGAACTAGCAATTCGGTATAAGTCGATACAAAACTTTTCAATATTTGATAACTTCTATTTCATTAATAACTATGAAAGAAATTGGAGTATGGGCCTTTGAGAAATAAAACCGTACTTCAAATTTTAAATACAAGATTTTCATTCTAGTCCTTATAAGGTCACGATTGACACATATGAGAAATCAACGTTGGACTTATTGGATCCTTGGCAGTCATCGAAATTCTTGATGAAACCTAGGCTATGTATGGGCTAAAAGAATATACAGATAATATACTCATCTTTAGCAATTTTGTGAAAATAAGTCGATACCAACCCTTTCAATAAGTGTTTTGTTATGTTCTTCAAGACCTAGGAGAAATCTATGTTCTATAACTTTTCAACACGTTGTCCTGAATCGTATTGTTTGCTTCGGCCACTCAATTTTCGTAGTTGACAGAATTCTATGATGAGTCCATCCCTCTAAGAATTACATATGTGGGGAGAATTGTACACGAAATCGAATAGCGAAAAATATTCATATGTATTGGGGCACGTATCATAATTGAACCAACTCAACTACTTGAAATTGACCCATTTGTTTTGCTTCATAAAATCTAATAAATTTGTATAATCTAGCCTTGCAGTATAGAATAACATCATACCGATTGTATAATTAAATATTTTTTCAAATTTTTTAGTTTTCAAAAGTTATATTAGTTCATATTTCTAAAACATAGTTTTAATACTATATTTATTAAATTTTGTACAAAATAACACTTTTTTAAGAACCATCACAACTACAAAAATCTAGAAGAGTGGTTGTACTCCTACACAGCCCGATCGTGGGTTAATTATTTGAATGTTCTCTGAACTTTATCAAATGTTACTATTTAATAACTAAATTTAAAATAATATCTCAATTACTGCTAAACTTTGTCAAGTATTACTACTTCATAACTGAATTTAAAAATGTATTTAAATAATCAATGAACTATGCACCGTATTTCCCATTCATTACTCAAACGAGAAACTTCATTAAGTCTACAAACGTCGTTGACTCGAGGGATGTCGAGTACTACTTCATAACTGAACTAAATATGTATCTCAATGATTATTAAATCATGTCAAGTGCTACTATTTAATAATTGAATGTAAAAAAGTCTTGACTTGAGTAATGGATGGCTAACACGACATATAGTTTTGTGTCCATATAAATGCATTTCTTCAGTTATAAAATAATAATACTTGACAAAGTTTAGAGACCATTGAAATTTTTTTTAATTTCAATTATTCAGTAGCGACGCTTGGTAAAATTCGATGATCATTAAGATAATCAACCCGCCCAACTGTTTCATATAAAGGTGTGAAATAAATGTTCATTTGCAAAAAAAAAAAGGACATCAATTTTACTAAACTTTTATTACTAACTTTATTTTTCTTAAAAAAATTAAAACTTTCATCATCATTTTTCTCCTACCTCATCCTTGCTAATCACGTGTCGAACCTCCTTCCAACATGCACTCTAACCCCTTCAAAACCTGCATCTTCGACAACACATTTCGGAAAACAATATTATCATAGCACACCGACTTTCATTGATAAGCAAGATTTGAACAGTACTAACGAAAATGATTGCCCTGTTCTAGTACAAGGCAGGCTCGAAGCTGCAAGTTTTCGTGACAAAGCCAGTGTGTTAGAAGCTACATATTTCACATAAACAGAAATTAGTATAGCAGGCTTCGGTACCATGATTATCCCACTTCAATTGCAGTCGATGATATCGTACATCATTTGTTCTCTATTCTATTCGACCCACCGCCGGAAACAAGCACTCAATTCCACTAAATTATCCCATTTATTGACTATTTAAAATAAAGAGTATTTCACTTTCGAAGAGATTACATGATTCAATACAAGTGAAACGAAGGACCATTGTATATATTAACGTTCTATTTTGAATTTTTCACAACCAAAGAAAACATACGACACCTTTGTTGAGTCAAAATATCCCCACATTTAACTCCATTCAAACTATAAGCCCTGCTCCATCAGGAACCACCACTCTGCTAGAATTTGAACCCCTCAACAGCCACCATCACCGATGTCGCGGCCCTTAATCCTCCTCAGCTCCGCTGCCACCTCTCTGGCATCTGGCCGATCGTCTTTATCGGCTGCGACGCACCTGAATGCCAATTCCGCCACTGCGCAAACCCCCTCCACAGCATCCCCGTCCTCCGCTAGTACAGGGTCCACAACTTGGTGCAACAGTCCCATCTGTATCCTTGGCACCACCATGTCCGCCAATGCCATTTCCGCCTTATCCCGATTCTGATCCACTGCTCTCATCCCCGTTATTAACTCCAACAAAACTACCCCGAAGCTGTAAATATCGCTCTTTTCGTTCAACCTGAATGATCTGTAATAGTCAGGATCCACATAGCCCGGTGTACCTTGAGGACCTGTCCGCACGCCCTCAGAAGAATTGCTCGATGCCATTGAGGTCTCCGAACATACTAATAGCCTTGAAAGCCCGAAGTCTCCGACTCTCACTCTCATATCCTTCTCTACAAAGACGTTCGATGAAGTAATATCTCTATGAACTACTGGTGGAACTACGGAAAAATGCAAGTACTCAATAGCCATGGCGATTTGCAGAGCGATATCGACTCTTGTATTCCAATTTAATGCCCCTTTTAGATACAAACTCTTCTTACCATGGAGATGATCAGATAAAGTTCCATTAGGCACATAATCATACACCAAGACGAGGCCTCTTGGATCACTGCAATAGCCATGAAGCTTGACTAAATTTGGGTGATAAATTGACGACAAAATCAAGATTTCATTGCAAAATGATTTTGTTGAGAATCCCTTAGCTCCAGCAGCTGTTGTGTCATTGCGCTTGTGGAGATGTTTTACTGCAACTATTCGGCCATTGTAAAGTAGGCCTAAATACACTGAACCAAATCCTCCATCCCCAATTTTGCGCTTCGGATCGAACCAGTTGGTTGAGTACTCGAGTTCTTCGTAGGTGAAAACTGGTGGGAGAATACCAGCGGAACGGTAATGCCGGAGGAAGATTATTGCGGGATCTTCCTCTGCAGCCATTAGTGCTTTTCTTCTGGACCTGAAGAACACAATCCCTACTGAAATGGCAATTAAGAAACACGCAAACAAGAAAATTATGGATAACAGAGCAATTCCATTTCTTGATTGAGATGGGAAACAAATGAATTGTTTCATTGGGTCTGTTGAATTGAACCCACAAAAGCCATTGCTGGCTCTGCAAGATTTGCAGCTAGAAAAGTAGAAATCTCGATCTTCATCCCACTCTACTTCAAATCCTTCTCTCAAGATGTTTCCAAGTACATCGCCTTGGCATTCCGGTTGAAAATCTTCACGGTGGCGCGTGGAGGAGTTACAATCTTGGAGGAGCTGAGGAAGGTTCTTGATGAGATTACATTCCCGGAAGCAGTGGCTGCAGTTGGGGAGATTTGGAGGTAGGCAAGATTCAAGGGCCGAAAGGCGGGAACAAGAAGAATCAGAGACTCTAAATGGGGAACCAGAGAGTGAAATTGGGAGTGAAGAAGAACAGTTGTGGTGGTGGAGCTGCGATGGCGTAGGAGAGAGAGTGAGAGAGGTAGATTTTGGTTCATACTGCAGTAGATAGAATGAGATGTTGTTAATGGACATGGTGGCGCGTGATGATGAACACTGGATTTGGAAAAATGGGTGGCCACAGCCAGATGAGGATGAAAAAGGAAAAGGGGGTGTGGATTTGAATGGTGGGCATGAAACTTTAGCGGCTTTAGGCGGTGGTGGCGGACAGCAATAAGTTAAGGTGATGAAAAATGCAAGGAGCAAGGCGGCGGCGGCGGCGGAGATGGTGCTGGAAGGTGATGGTGGCATAGTTGAAGTATAAAAAGTCTGGATCTTGAACTAGTTTGGGTGGACTAACTAATGTTGGTGGTGTGGGGGTTATCAAGAATGAGCAGTGAAGACGGAGACGGAAATGGTGGCATTTTGGAGCCCAAAATGGGAAGTGAAAGTAATAATGAAATGAGTAGATGATGAAGTTCTGAATCTTGAAACTAGTTTACGTGGATAGACAACCTCGGTGAGTCGGGTGGGGTGGCTTGGGGGATGGTCTTGAGCCTTGAGGGGAAGGCTCAAGTGAAGATAATTGGGTAAAGACAAAAATCAAGAAATTTTCTTCGATTTTCTCGAAAAGAATAGATTGATTGATTGTTAATGCTGTCATTAGTA